CTTTCGGGCAACTTCCCTGTACTCCAAACACATTGTCATTTAGCACCAACTGCTGAAGATTTTCATATTACAGGACAGAATGTCTTAACAAAACATATTCTTTAAGATCCACCTTTCCTACAAAGTGAAATTACATTTTTAAACTCCTATGACTAAATTTCAAGCCACATTGAGAAATAAAAGCCTAAAATTCAAATTCTTAACCTTGTCTTCACTGAAACAGCTTTTCTCCTGGTATCTATTGAGATTACATAATTCTTTACTACCGAAGAAAGCTTATCCACCACTGCAATTTAATTCTAGACATTAGTGAATCCACTGTTGAAACAGTAATATCATTGCTGCAGTTTCTTTTGAATGAAGTGACACTATTACTAATTTAATTTTAGTGAGTTTGAAAGTGTTTCTCACTCTAATGACCTCACATTTGCAATTTTTTCTGCTTGCTCAACACAATCCTTCCAAATAAGTCATTTGAGAACATGCTGTCAATTTGCCCTTCTCCAGTTACTAGTTATCACATCATAGAATCATGGAACTGTTTGGGTTGGAAGGGAACTTAAAAGGCCATCTAGTCCCAACCTCCCTGCCATGGGCAGGGACACCTTCCACTAGACCAGGTTGCTCAAAGCCACACCCAGCCTGGCCTTGGACACTTCCAGGGATGGGGCATCCACAGCTTCTCTGGGCAACCTGTTCCAGTGCCCCACCCTCTCCATGAATAACTTCTTCCTGATATCTAAACCTCCCCACTTTCAATTTAAACCCGTTACCCCTTGTCCTGTCACTACAGGCCCCTGTAAAAAGTCCCCTCTCAGCTTCCTTGTAGGCCCCTTCAGGTACTGGAAGGCTGCAGTAAGGTCTCCCCGGAGCCTTCTCTTTTCCAGGCTGAACAAGCCTGATTCTCTCGTCCTTTCACTCACACTCACTTGTTCATATCAGAAGCATTACAGCTATTAATATTCCTAACCTCCTTGCTAAAATTGACACCTGTGACCATATGAAATGATAAAGGCTTAAATACATACTTCATTTCAGCTACACACCTAGAAAAGCTGTATTTGAAAGGTAAACATAAAGAAGCATTAAATATTATCCCAATTCCTCTACTTCCATCGGGGTTTTAAAGCCTGCGTAGCAACAGGGAAATATTGGGAAATCACTGTGTAACAGCAGACAAGAGATGATGATGGGTACATTTTAAGTATCTTTTCCCTACGTTGACAGAAAGCTCCAGAAATTACATTAAAATAGCAAGTATGATAATGCATTTACCAGGGTGCACGTTATTAACCAAAGCAGAAAGAGTAAGCATAAGGCAATAAGCATTGAAGTCAGATATCAAAATAGTTTTTCATTCTTCTGTACTGCTCAAATGTTAATAACAGCCGAACTTTGATGTTGGTCTCCTTGAGGATGCAAATAAACATTTAGATAGCAGAAATTCACATTTATGGTTTTTTCCAACTTAAATTTAGTACACAAAAGGGTAACCTGCCACATAGGGACTGGAGCACCTCTGATAGGACAGGCTGAGGGTGCTAGTATTGTTTAACCTGGAGATGAGGTGGACTGGAAGTAGACAATCAATAGGAATAAGTATTTAATGGGAAAAAACAGATGGCTCAGTCAGACTCTTCGCAGTGCTGCCCAGTGGAGGGACAAGAGGAAATGGGCACAAACTGAAACAGGAAAACTCTACTCAAACAGAAGTTTTTTCTGTAAGAGTATTCAAACACTGGCACAGGTTGTCCATAGAGTCTCTAAAGTCTTCATCATTCGAAATAATAAAATCAGCAAGGACATAGTCCTGAGCAGCCTGCTCTACTAGACCCTTCTTTGAGCAGGTCAACTAGACAATCTCCAGACATCTCTGACTCTGGGTAAGTTAGATTTTGGCTGAGATGATGCTCCACAAATCAGTATTGATCAAACCTTCTTCTGAAGAGAAAACAGTATCATCATGTGTTTGGTATCCCCATGCAATGACAACAGCATCAGCACTGAAAGTGGCATAAAACTGGCAACTAGGTAAGTATACAACTAAAATAGACAGATGTTACTGTATCTATAGGACAGAACAAAAATGTTGCAAAGTAAGCAGTAAGTGGGAACTTCTCAGCACAATCAACCACAGCTGGGATATAATCCTTAAACACACAGTAGAGAGGGCAAGCAGCTGGCTAGCCTTTTATTTCAAGGAGGAAGTCCTCATCTCAGCCACACAAATACAGCATCTTTTATCCAGTTTCTCTGTAGCTAACTCAGACTGCATCACTCAGAGGCAGGGTCAACTAGAACAACAGTGCAGCAGTCCAGCAATGAGGGGCAAATCAAAACCTCATATAATAAGCTCTGGGAAGAAAATGCTCCTGGATTCAGAGTGAGGAATGTGATATTCCCATCCCTAATGGCCTCCAATTTGAGTGGGAGTCTGCAGTGTTGGCCTTTGTGAGGAGAGGACTGTTCTGGACACAACCAGCTCCAACAGACACCCTCCTGCCCCCTCCCCAACTATCCCCCCTTTTCCCCCAGCACACAGCTCAGCCCCTCTGCCAAGAAACAAACTGACCTGCAGACACCAAGGTCAGTGGAGAAGGAGGGGGGGGAGGGGCGCCGGGAGCCAGAGCAGAGGCTGCCCTGCAGTTCATGGAGAAGACCACAATGGAGCAAATAGCCACACTGCAGCCTGTAGAGGACCCCACACAGATGGACGTGCCCTGGATGAAGAAGCCATAGCACATGGAGAGGAGCCCACACAGCAGCCAGCTCTTGGCAGGAGCTGTAGCCCCTCGGGAACCCACACTGGAGCAGTCTATTCCTGAAGGACTGCACCCCACAGATACCCATGTTGTTGAAAGACTATACCCCATGGGAAGGACCCATGCAGGAGCAGGGGAACAGTGTGGGGATGAAAGGGCAGCAGAGAAGAGGTATTACAGACTGACCACAAGTCCCATCCTACGGAGGGGATCCATGCTTTTCTTTGAAAGTCAGATGTAAAGAGTAACACTTTTGGCTCTACCACACCACTGGTTTTGCAAGGGTGTGTTTCTTTTTAAAGAATAAGCATGCTTAGCTCTCTTTAGTAACGCTTTGGAAATACCACGTTTAGAATGGAGATATGGGAAGACCAAATCTAGCACAAAGCTTTTTCTTTAAAGATGCACAGATTTTAAAATATGCGCGTGATGAAAAGGCTTCACCAAGAACACATCAGAGAAATTAAATGAAACAAATAAGATTAGAGTATTACATAATGTACTCCATAAGTATACTACCAGAATGCATTCAGGTCAAGAAGGTCTAAGCAAGTCCCAGCTTGCATTTTAAGAAGTGCCCTATTATAACCTGATTGCTCATTTCTTTTCCAAGGTTTCCAGAAAATCTTTAAAACCGGAATACAATCAAAATAGCCTTTTGCCACCTAGAAAGTAAGTTTGCACTATACCCTCAGTTCTAACAGCTTGCACAAGGTTAGCAGCTCCTAACAGAAGGTTAGCAACACTAGAAATCCTCTCCGATCATAAATATTAGCATGACATTATACAGGAAACCCTTGCTACTTGATACATTTGTATGTGCATTCCCAGAATACAGAGCTAATTAAAACAGCAGCCACAACAAGCCAATCTATTAAGACACTAATCCACCTTGACTAAGCTGAAAGACAAATGTGCAGAGCAGCAGACGCTGTTGAGAAGCAATACACCAGAAGCACACTTACCTAAATTTAAGAAATCTGAGCTGGAAGAAGGCGGAAGTGAACGGTGTGTGGAAGGACCTGTGCTTTCTGTAGATGCTGAGCCTGGATTAAGAAAGTTCCCAAAGAGGTCTGCACCAGACAGAGCTTGATTCTCTGAACTTGATGACATTGTGAATGGGTCAAAAGGATCAGCTAAAAAAGAAGCATAAAACAAAATTATGACACATTTTAGAATAAACAAAACTGTAAAAGTCTTACTTCTCTGGGGACACAGACAAAAACTGCAGTTCATGCTGACAACTGCAGCAGCCTTCTGAAAATTTCTTTGTGGTAAAGAGTCACCTTCTGACGCTTCCTCTAGACATCTGTTCTTTCATGCTGGTACAAAAAGTATTTCAGCCATACACAATATGAACAGCTATGTCCTTAGCAAGGCTGTATACATTCAATAACATTATTAATTTCACCCATGTAAGACACCTTAGAGTGATCATCTGCATAAGATAGATAAGATAAAACATAAGAATTACATTTATTAAATGCTCTATAATGCCAAATCTCCAAAGAATTTACACAAAACACACCATTAAACTACTATATATAATACCAAGTAAAATATTTATACTACCACTTTGACTTGAAGGCATTGGTGACTCTAGGGCAGACAGTACATCAACTCAAGACTGAAAACCAGAAGCAAGGCTTTCAACAGGTCTCTAGTGATCACAGCGAAGAACAAACTAATTGGAAGAGTATTTATAGCCAGCATGGGATAACATGTGACAGTCAGCTGGAATCATGGCTGGGTATCTGCTGCTGCCCTTTAGGGTCAAAATTCTCAAGGGCTCAGGGACTCCAGCCAGTTACACTCAGAACCTGAAGAGAAGGAATAATCTTGCCATGGTGCCCTAGCACATCCTGAAGTGATGATCACATCATACAGGTCTCAGTAACACTTCAAAAAAAACACCCTGGACTCTCTTCAAGCTGTTTTACTACAGCATTGCACATATACAAAACCTATAGTGTAAATTTGATGTGTCAAATGGAATACAACAGTAGCCAAACACTCACTTCTGCAATTATCTTTTTCTTATCCAACTCAAAGGTAGAATAAGATGACATGACTACTGCCCAGGTGTTTTATGGAGTAGATGTAAGAAAGATAGTTAAATAAAGATGAAGTAAAAATGCTTCTATTTTGTAGACTATGTAAAAAGGTAAATTAAGTGATTCCTCACTGACCACAGTAACAAGGCTCAATACTGAGTTGCTTCAAAAGCAATACATATTTGAAATCACCTAAACATGTTACAAAAACACTTAGCAGCTAAACCTTGTTAAATTTCCCAGATTATTTGATTAATATTCCCAAAGACCTTAAGGCAGAGAACTGCTATTCCCAAAATAGCAGTGGAGGAAGAGAATCAAAGGAAAAGACAAGGGAACTCGTGGTCTGAGATAAGAACAATTCAATAATTGAATATAAATTAATACAATAGTGAGACTGACAAGACCAACAATATGTAAAGAACACTACCACTACTACTAGGAATACGTAATGAAAATAATGGAAAATTTAGAAAAAAAAATTTAAATGTACAACTGGTCACCAACCATCAACTGATGCCCAGCCAGGTCAAAAGTACTCTCAGTTGGAGAGCCAGAGCCTGAGAGCCAGGCCAAGCCCCAGAGAGGAACTATACCAGAGCATGGGCCAGCAAGAGAGCAACCAAGCAAGAGTGAGTAAGAGAGCCAACCTACATAGCCCTTGGCCCACCCCAACTTACACACTGAGCATGACCTTTTACGGAATGAAATACCCCTTTGGGTAGTTTGGGTACACCAGCATTATCAATACTTTTCTCAGCACAAACCCAAACCAGTCTCACACAAATCCAAAATACAGCCTCACAGCAGCTACTGTGAAGAAAATTAACTCTGTCCTGACCAAAACCAGCACAAATGTTAATGCTAGTAGGACAGTGGCAACATAAAATACCTGGCTAATATACAGCAAATTCTTTCCTTCATGTAGAAAAACATGCACATTCTTGCCACAGAACAACATGTCTTCAGTGTACAGATCAAAACATGGTACTCATATTCAAAGCACAATGTAAGCAGCCATTTTTATCTGTTGGCCAGCCAACGAATACTGATGTTAAATTTACATACCTGAAGATGTGGCTGCTGCTGAAGACATACCCTGAGTAGCAGCAGGACTATGACTGCTGAAAAAGAAATCTGTTCCTTGTCCAAGAAGATCTCCAGTGGGCTCCTCTGAAGTCTGTGATGCATCACCCACAAACAGATTGTTCAACAAGTCTGCATTACTTGATGAAGAGTTTATTTCTGAGACAGGTTGTTTCTGTTCCAGTGAAATATCAGACTCCAGTCCCAGTAAGTCTACATTCTCTTCAGGAAGAGATTTTTGTAACGGTGCAGATGGAGCTTCAAAAAGCAACTCTCCCTCTGAAACAACTGACCCTTTTTCATCAACAATCACTGCACTTCCTTCATCTGGAAATGCAGGTAATTCCTCATCTGAAGGATCACTGTCCTCCCTGTCATCAGATAGTTGAACACGATCATTTTTAGATGAACTGTCCTCTATTCCACTCTCCGGACTTTTTCCTTCTTGAATAAAAATAAATACAAGCTTTAGTTTACCAGGATTCTTCTGCCAACTAGGATAAGACAAACTTATAGGGTGAGATCATATGAAATCAAACCTTAATTAATCAAAGATCACAAAAGATTTGTACCTCCTTGTACAGGTCAGGCAAATGGGCAGCTCACTACCATACTAGCCACTCTCTTAAGAGCAGATACTACCATTTTTTTCAAAATGAGACTGACTTGCACATTCACCTCAGGACATCATACCACTTATGGCTTAGATAACCAGTCAGTAACTGCTGCTCCACTCAGTGATAGCATTCAGTGACAGCACAAGCCATTACTGACATTTTTGCCAACAGAGCAGAACCCAGAAAAAGGACTTGCACATGCAAGAGAAGGTTACATTTTCAGTATGTTCATACTAATCTGAACCCCACTGGCTACTTAGTTTCCTTTGTTCCTCAGCCAGCCTAAGTGAGCCTGTGGGACTGCAAAGGCTTCCTTGAAGACCTTCAGCATTAAGATTTTTGCAGAAGAATAAAAGTGTAGCTCAGCATTTAAGTTAAACACAATACCAAGCCATTACTTGGTGCTTATCCAAATGAAACAGAATGACCACTTTCTAACCTGCAGAGTTCACCTTTTAAACAGCTTTTTCCCCTGTTCTGGTGAAACAGTGACTTTCACTGCATAAGGCAGCTTAAGCAGTCATTGAAAGGTATATAAAACAACAAACATAAAACAAAGTTACTTCAGAGGAAAACCTGTACCTTTCCAGTCCAGAGAATGAAAGAAGTTATTTGCATCAGTACTACTGCTGTGTGGGGATTCTGTATCAGTTGGTACACTCTCTGAAGACTGCTCCAGCCGGGATGCTTCTGCTTCATATTGTGCAGTTGAACCTGGTTGTCTAGGCAACTCTGGTTTTCCTATAAAATAGATTTTAAGACAGAACCGTTAGAGAGAAACTTCTGGAACTCAATCTTGACCATAGCAGCTGGTGTTTCACTGGCAGACTGACTGCTGTAGCAACACAACTGTCTCAAAGTATCTATTTGCAAAGGATCCATTTCAAATCAGCATTGTTTACTTTGTTTCAAATGCCAGAACTGGCAAGACAGGATTGTCAACTGTAACAAAATAAATCACACTCATAGCAAAAGCCTCCATTCTATTTACATTTATAGGAAAATGTAACATTTGTATCAACTATCCCCCAAAATATGCAAGAGCTATGAACATCTGCAATAAGGAACAGAACATCAAAAAAGAGCAAATGCAGCTACAAAACAACAGAGTATAAAGAGTTGTTAACAAAAATTTCAAGGAGTTAAGTAGCACACTGTGTTCTGTGATTAACTACTCCTTACATTTCTTATTTTACTCAGATCAGATATTAAGTGAGTCTTGTGTAAGACCGAGTTACCCACTGCTATATTATCTCTCAAAAAGGAGGTTTCTTCAAGGCAACTAAGACAACTCCCTAAATTAGTAAGTATTCATCTACTGTTTGAAAAGAACAGGATGAATGCTTGGCAGAAAGCTATTTGTCTAAATCTAAATAGCAAACCGGTACAGCACTTCATCCTCCATCCTCCTTCCACATACTCAGTTGTAGCTTAGAGATGCTGAAAAAAATAGTCTGTCTCAGAAAATATACATGAAAGACCGTGATTAATGAAATAGTTCAAATTCAACTTTAATAGGGCAAGTTTTATAAAATCAGTTCCCACACTTGCTCTTGTCCTACAAATTCCCTTCCTACCTACCAGTTTTAAGAAGTATTTTTGATGGAATATGAAACGCTTACATTTCCTTTATCAATCAAAAAACTGGAATGTCTTAAAGTCATTTTTACAGATCCTCATTATCAATGAAACACCTTAACTTCAGTGAGCTGACAGCTATGTTCATAGTAGCAGTTTTTTTAAACCTATATAAACTAAGATAAATAGAAAAATACCTAAAATCATCATACAAACCAAACATATCCTGCTAAAAAAAAAAAAAGATTAGACATCCTGCTAGAAGAGATAAAGTGTCAGCAACTACCTTGTATCAAAAGAAATGTAATTAAGATGTACCATATTAAGAGCAGAGAATAACATCTCATGTATGGTATACTGAAATCACCACAATAATCTTCATCATGCTTTTTATTCTGGAAGCACAGAGAAGGCTTAAGAGCCTTAATGAAAATGTCAAAGCTGATTACTGATAACAGGAGAAGGAAGATAGTGAAGAGCATTAACTGGAATTAACGCAGGCATCTACAGATGAAGCAGAAAATACACAGTATTGAAAAAATCAAATTTCTGCTAGACCACATTAGGAAAAGTGAGAAACTGAATTACAACAATATACTTAGCTATACATAAGGATCTTAATAAAAACATTTAGTCAAAATCATTTGTGAGGAATGCTCAGATAATTTTAAGTGAAATGATAATGGTGACAGTTCAGCCAAATTCAGTTTTTCAACTCATTTTTTTTCTACAAATCCTGGTTGTCACAATTTCATTTGCTAAAATCCCTGTAAATAGCATACTTATAGCTTTAAAGCAAGCAAGTGTAACGGCATTGGGGGGAATAATTATCATCCATTATTGAAGGATAATTTATACTCCTTCATACAATGTAAATTTAAGTGATATTTGGAAAAAACACCTCTTACATTTCTTTTATTTAAAGGAATATCAGAAGTGAAACAAAAGCCTCAGACACATTAGAAATTTTATCATGTTGTCTAGTTTTTAAGAGATTAATTACCAAATTTTGATAAAATCTCCTGTTGTTCCTCTCGGGTGGAGAAAAGGATCTTTGGATTCAGTCCCTTTATATTCATGTTATCCCATGGTGGCTGCTCACAGCTAGGTCTATCTCTGGGCTCCACTTCTACCTCCAGATTGACTTGAAATAAATCAGGATATTTTTCTTGTATGTCACAGGCATCCAGATCATACCTGCAAAGATGCACGTAAGTAGATTATTGATCCTGACAGTTAACCAGATTAAATTCACTGCAGTCCAATACAAAACTTAAAGCAATTTGCATAAGGCATAAAACGTGCTGTATTTGTTTGCTTTTTCCATGCATTTAAACAGGCAGTATTTTGGTACAGAAATTCCTATAGCATGAACAAAACCCTCCACGTTACTGAGGTGAGAAAGCAAAAGAATCTTATTGCAAAGTCATCTACTTCCTACACTGACTGTATTTCCTCCCCCCATGATAGGTTGGTTCGGAAGGTCAGACAGCTTCAAAGGCTACTTCTTCCGGTCTATTACAAAAAGGGTGTCAACATACTTGGCAAATTTCACTGTGGTAGCATTTCGGGGCACAAAGCCTGTGTGGAACTGAATCTGAAACATCTTCATTGAAGCCATCTGTTGAAAACGAGAAACACAGAGAAACTGCATAAATCCACATGAACAGTGCACATAGTGTTCTGCCCTTAACGTAATGCAAAGTATTTTTAGTATTAAAATATTTTACAGTGGGGTTTTTTTGTTACTATATCAGTTTAATTCCATGTATACTTTATCTGAAGAGACTGAAATGCAGTTTAAGACAGAATGTAGGTAAATCTATTACAACCAGAAACAAACCAAAAGCCCTTGAACCATATACATCTCATCACTAACCTCAGACTATCGAAATCTGTTAAGTCTTTCCAGACCCTGTCCTGGAGGCTGAAACTGCATGACCTTTATTACTTTTCTGAACAATATATAGTCAGAAAAACTTGTGGTGCAACACAGTTATCAAGAAATACATGTCATGGAGTCTACTCAGAACATGTTTAAATGTAGCACATTTAAAAGGACACTTCAGCAGCCACGCGTATACTTCTTTTTCCTGGGCAACTTTGCAAGTCAAACATTCAGCACAGACAGAATTATGGTGTTTTTCCAAACTGATTCATTATAACCATTCAAACTTTCCCAACTCTTTAATCTACTGACAGAAAAACTACTTTCCTATGCCTGATCAGCAAGCAAGGGTCCAGCAAATGCTACTGTAGAAGATTGATGTAGCTCCTGGTTTTCCACTTATCCAAATTACAGCAAACTTAAATCCATAATTTTTTTTTCCCCTGACTTTATTTACAATAAATGTGGAACAGTCTTGCCAGTACACACAAAGCAAATCATACAGTAATAGTCCATAAATGATATACACTAAAATTGAATTAGGAAAGCTTTTCTTGTAAATAAGCATTCATTGGACATCACAATCAGAACAAACAAAGCATGGCCAGCAGGTTGAGGGAGGTGATCTTTCCCCCTCTACCAAGAAATGGTGAGGCCACATCTGAAGTCCTGTGTCCAGTGCTGGCTTCTCAGTACACTAGAGACATGGATATATAGAACATACATACATCCCTACCCTGAACTACATATGAAAACCTGAACACCCTGTTAAATCAGTTTTCTTCATCTCTTGCTATGCAAGACATTTCCTGTAACATAAACTAAATCCTCTCTCAAATTAGCTGTGAGCAAGAGGGAGACATTCACAATGCCCAGCTATAGGCCCTTAACAGCAATACTGAAACATGGTGGTTTCCACATCCTCCATGTGATAAGCCTCCACCACAGGCTCATCACAAACATTGCTGATGTATCATGTCACAGCAGCAGACAGCAGAGAAAATTCTAATCTTTTCCAATCAGTGAATAAATGCCAGAGAAACCACTTCAAAGAAATGCTATCATCAGTGCAACTGAGATTGCACAAGGAGTAGAAGCTAACCTTGGCTGAATTTTCCCCAGTTGTATGCCTCCTTCACCAATGACCTTGAATCAAACACTAGTTATTTTGGTGGATTAGAAAATCATTTCACTGAGCTTTAAGTTTTATGTTGTTGTGGAAGATCTGGCTATAGCACCCTGCGGACATTATGAAAGTCTTGAACCTGTGCAACATAACAAGATTTGATACTCATGTTCCTAGGCATGAAGTAGAAAAAACACACGGAAAAACATTTATTTCAGCAATAGTAGGTATGTATAAATATGCCTGTTTGGCCCAAGTGTAAGGAAACAGAAGAACCCCTGGGCCAATTTTCACAATGTACCAAGTTATTATAAACTTTGCATTACCCCTTCCTGTCTTTTACGTGGGTTTCCAAGTTTAATTTGGGTTACTCATTTGGAGGAAAAAACCCACATGCTTCATTTTTACAAATTTGAGAGAGGATTCATTAGCAAGTCTTCTGTGATTTGCAATACATGTGCATCCAGAGTTCAGTTAAAAAAGGAAACATGCATACTCCCTAAGAGAACAAAGAGCAGTACAAAAGTCAGCTGTAAAAACTTAACCTGGTTCTAGAAATAGGGTACAAACCCACATGGATTTTTCTAGTCTGTTTTGTACAGGCAGTGTCTGGAATTCCATTTTTCTATAGAGCTGTATCTTTCATTTGGTTACAGTTTGTGTGTAGAGAATTGAAAAGTTCTGGCTGCTTGTGCAACTTAACAGATAACAATCGCTGCCTTAAAGAACTGGCTAGTGGCTTTCCATGCAAATAGAGTAACTATCACTACTGAAGTAATTTCTGGAAATGCTTTCCAAAGCATCTACGTGAAGAGCACTAAGAATGGACATACTTATTAGGCTTGAAAAGGCTGAATTACCAAGAACATGAGAACCTCACACATTTCTTTGAACAGCGAATAGCAAACAAAGCCATGTACTTAATGTGACCACAAATATAAATGATACAAAAAAACTCAGGAAAGAAAAAGCAAATCCTCCATGTAGGCTGTTAAATTTATCATCACCTTTGCTTGCAGTCGGCCTCCTAGTGTTGACCTGGCATGATAGATCACAATGAGAACATCCCCCTGGACTGTTATACCTAGTGGAATTACTGCTTTCCCATCTTCAATTTTAAACTCCCTGAAGACAAAAAACACAAACCATAACCACAGTTAATTACCTTTTTAAAAAAATAGCCTATTACCTTATGTTTAGTTTGGTTTCTCCAAGGCCTTCAATATCAACCCATAAAAATTGGCTTCAAATTCCTATTATGTAGAAGGACTTCACTCTAAATGATTAATACTTCAAAGATGCTTTAAAAAGATCAAGATTAACAGTTGCCTATAGCAGAGCAACATTTATACCCACAATTCTCAAATCAAGTACCGAAGAAATATCTTTGAGGAGCTGCTGGGAAATGCAAGTGACAGGATATTATGAAGAAATTCTATCTGCATTGCTGTGATATGTTAGGACTCCCACTAAAGGACAATAGTAGAGAAAGAGGGGAAAATGTTGTAATACCACCCCACAGACATTTCTGCTCCGGCTCTCTTCAAATCCATTAAACTCCTTACAGGTCTTGGATCTATAGGAAAGCTAGAAGGACTTGGGTATTCTCTCATCTCTCCCATCTCTATCTACACCTAGAACTGCTGGTACCATTTGAAATTCCTGTTGTGTATTACAGCAGCAGACACCAGAGCTGCACAGGGGCTAAGCAGCACTCCCCTTACAGCTACCATGCCTGGGGGGGTCCTTACTGTTTCCATAACTGAGACATGACATTCAGTTCAGTACACGTACACATACACCAGGGATCAATCTTCCTAGTTTATACCACACAGAGTGAGAGGATGTGGAGTGGATGCTCACCTCTGCCTCCATGTGCCCACTGTGCCACCCACCATCACCCTCACTTTCTGCAGGAACAGATCCAAGTTGCTCTTATAAATAACCACATTGTCTCTTACCCACAATTTTCTTTCCAAGATCAGCTAAAAGGGGACAGAGTCGCTGTTTCATGCGTTAAAAAAAAAAGCTTTCTGCTCAACTGGCACATGCAAAATCATGCTTTCTCCTCACAGTAAGAACTTCATACTTATGTTAGCCTATTAAAACATAATGTGCTGTTTCAGAGCAAATCACCACCTGTACTTACTTCATTTTGTCATATTCCTGAGAGGTAGTGGTTACTCTCTCATCTCCCAAATAAACTTCACAAAAAGGCCTGCAGCCATTACGCTGCTTACTGAAAAGAGGAACTGGAGTCATGATGATTGATCTGACAAGGATGGGCTTGCTGTGAGGAATAATGGGTTCTTCAGCCATCATGTCACACATGTATTCAATGTATCTGCCAAAACCAAAAGGCACTCATTTAGCCTGAGAACCAAATTCTAAAAATGGGTGAACACAGTAACAGGTGAGTTCCTTCTGTTCATATCCAGCCATTGTGAAGTGACAAGTAACAATAATAAACCACTGGGAACACTTAAAAGAGCTTCCAACAAATGGATATTCAAATCAAGTATTTCTTCACGTTTCTATTTCATTTTCCATATGTGAAATTCTATGATCCCTAGCCAGCCTCTCAATATAAGGAGAGCAACACAGTTCCTGTACAAAAGCCTGCATCACAACAGAAAAATATACTGCAGAAAACTGCATACAGCACCACATATGAACTCATCTGCACTTGTACCCCACTTTCTAGAAAACTCCAGACATTGCCTTAGGTTTGTAGCATTACATATATTCACTTGTAAAACAACCTAGCCACTCTTCCAAAGGCCTTAAAACACCAAACTACAAGAAATATTTATTTTGTATCCTACACATAATGGATCAAAGTCAAACAGCAGTTCTGAAGCTAGTAACTCAAAGCTTCCTAAAGGCTTTAAATTCTATTAATGAGGATAAATTTATCTTGTAGATGATCAGTTATATATACTCAAAGTAGATGTGTAAAACAGCATAATCTGTCATTTATATTTAATTAATCCCTACTTCCCACCTTTCTAAATTAAATCCATTTTTTAGGACCAGCTTTACTACCACTGTCACTTGTTACCGAGTCTTTATTGTTAAATGATCTATCAAATTTAATCAAATAATCAGTTTAAAGCATTTGTATATTAAAGTCACCTCTGCATCCACTCCTTAAAAAGCAGAAGGCATTGTTAAACAGTAAGGATTAACAGAAATTATTAGAATTTCCACAGAACTTGCAATGTTCTAACACAGTAAAACATGTTGTAATAAACTAGTAAACATGGAATAAAACTTCCCATGTGGAAGATGATTTTATGCTTAAGAGAGCATTCAGGAGCACTGCATATCCTTGCTTTCACTCTTAACATTCTTTCGCTACAGGTCATACTTGACTCATTTTTGATAAGAACACCATGGGGGACTTAAGGGCTCACAAAATTCAGAACTGCTTTCTCTGCTCACAACACATCCATTTTTCCAAGTATTTTGCTGTTCAGACACAGGCACTATTGAAGTTATTCATCCTCCTAAAAAGTATCCTGTAAAAATAGTATTATATTCACAACTGCATAACTATTTGCTTCAATAGCATCCTACAGACTGATACTGTACCTTTTATGAGAGGGCCAAATGCCAGGAGGACAGCGCTTCATACTGAACATATAAACTGCAGCTTCAGCAGTACTGAAGAGACGACAGAAACACAAAAAAGAACAAACTACAACAGCAGATGCTGCTCTTCCATCCTACAAAAAAAAGTAACTTTGTTATTAAATTCAGTGGAAAAAGCATTGAAGAAGTTACTGAAGACTATGCTATCATTCAATGGAATGAAGTCCAAGGCCTAGTGCAATCATAAGGTTAGAAGTTTGCATCTGAACATGAAATGTTTTCATGTGATTTCCATACAACACAAAACATACTACATACCTGCTTGCTCAAATGTGAATAACTGCTTTAGATTAACACTGCTTTGAAATTCTCAGCTGACATTTACTACCTATCACTAATACACATTTTAAAGTTTGTTTCCTGGCTGCTACCTGAAGGCCCAGCTCAGTGCTATTTTTGGCTGATAACTATGGACTTCAGCTACAAGAGAAGTCCTAAGATTCAGAAGAACTAAGCCACACTAAACACTAGTCTTCTGACTAAAACTGCCTGAGATTAATAGCTTGCCACAAAACTGAGAGAAGGAAATTAAAACACAACCTCTTTCTGCAGGGACCACAGCTGCATACGTGCTAGATTGATCCCTACACTACAGAAGACTGAAGACTCAGAAGAGGTGATGGTTGACAGAACAGCATCTCTCAAGTGGTTTTCTTTGCTAGCAACATGGAACACATCTCTTGCAGTCATTTGGCATATGAGTGTGGAAGTGAGGAAGGAAGAAGTATTTTTCCTCAACAGATACTTCCTTTGAAAACAGTCTTCTCTTCTACCCATTACTTAGATCAATGAAAAGAAGGTCTGCCAGCACCATAAGCACCAGACATCTAAAAAGCAGTTCAGCAAATCAGTATTGTTACTGCTGATGCAACTAGCAAGCCCAATGACTTCCGGAAGCCACTATACTAGTCTATGGCTCTATGAGCTAGACCCTGCCTTTCCGTTAAATTTCACACAGACAGAACAAAAACATGGTCCCAGTCTGAGACACCAGCACTTAGGACAAAACACTAATGAAAACAAGGGAAGAATGAAACAGTGACCAGCACAACACACAGTTAACTCTGTACACCTGCATTACAAATCCACTCCAAATTGAAGCACCACACTGAAGGGAGAAAAACCATTGTACAAAGGTGTCATGGTTTAACCTTGACCAGCAGTAAAGTACCACACAGTCACACACTCAACTCCCCTCCCCTAGTGGAGGAGGAGAATTGGAAGAAAAGACAAGGAAGCTCATGGATTGAGATAAGAACTATTTAATAACTGAATAAAAATTAAAACTATAGTGCTACTAATAATATTAACAATACTACTACTACTACTAAGTGATTAAAATAGAAAATGAAACATATGATACAATTACTCGCCACCCACTGACTGACACACAGCCAGGTCCCAAGTAGCGAGAGTCTGAGCCAGACAGCCCCACGGCCAGTGCCTGAGAGCAATCGCAGCCGAGTGCGAGACAGCCCCGTGAGCAACAGCACGACCACGAAAGCCAACCGACCCACCAACTAACGAATGAGCAAGCTAACAAACAAGTCAGCTAGCAAAGGACCTATGGTCCCCCAACCCACTCCCCACTTATGTACTGAGCATGACATGCTGTGGATTGGAATACTCCTGTGGTCAGTTTGGGTCAGCTGCCTGACCTGAGTGTCCCCCCACACTGCCTGTAGTGGGAAAGTCGGGAACACAGCGAGTGTCAAAAGCTGGAAAAGACCTTGAACTGGTGCAAACACTCCCCAGCATCAACTAAAAGACACCTTATGGGTTCTGTTCTCAAGGCAAATCCAGAAAGATAGCTTCATACCAGCCACTGTGAAGAAAATTAACACTGTCCCGACTAAAACCAGCATAAGAGGTCAATAAGCAAGTCACAGTAAACCCTTTGCAACTGTGGCATGAGGTCAGAAGACAACTTTACAAGATTTTAAAGACCATTTTACAACCAGAAATACAACATTCAAAATAAAGAATATCGTTTTAGTAAGCAAATCTGATGACAGAACCTTACAATTAGAGAAGCTTGCTAAATTACAGAATGGGAACAAAAGAAACACTCCCATAATGAGATGAGACAGTAAGAATTTTAATTTTTCCTTGTTAAGTTTTCACAAGGATGATGTATCTTGGCTATAAAAATAAGCAATACTCGGGCACAAACAATTATTAAGGAAGCAATAAAACCCAGTAATTTGAAAAAGCTAGCGTTTTGTGTCTAAATCATTTTGAAAAAGAAATAACTCTCAAAATAGAACACAACATTTTCCCTAGTGTGTGTATAATTACCTTAACTCGGTTCACTTAAACAGAGGTCAAATACAGCTATCTGCAGGAACACTTAAGCACACTTAAAAGAGCTGTAGCACACCCAGTTGCAAGTCTCTTTGCCACTGAGTTCCACCAAGGTGAACTTGTACCACACCTTCATAAGCAGTGTCAGTTCACAAGGATGACCATCACTGCATGACCCCAAATAAGCACACAGAACAAAGTGTTATTGCTGATGTCCAGCAGTTACTCCAGCCTCTGGCATATGTGCTACAGTCTTTCAATATCAACAGATCAGGATGTCAGTTAAAAACAGATCCCAGTCCTTGCCAGTCCAGAAAGACTTACTGTAGCTGAAGCAGGGAGCTGCCATTTGAACCTTGTTTTCAACTGCTTACTCTCAACTGAATCACTCAAATTACAATGTAAAAAATTAACAATTCACTACATCATAGGAAAACTTTACAGTAAGACCAAAAGACTAGGAAGCCCTACCTGGTTCTGAATCCCTGCCACCTAGATAGGAGCAGTTCCACCTTTACAAGAAGCAATTAATGTTTTGTTATCCAATAAAGTCTGTTAGACAAAACCCATTCTATCTCTGCCAGACAAAACATTCTTTTCAACCTAGACTTTCTAGCTTTCAAATCTACAAAAATTTCCAGCTAGATGAATCCAAGACACATTATTTCAGCTATCCAGCTGTTCTATTTCTAGCAGTTCTGGTGTATGCACTTCAGATGACATTTGGCATGCAGACATATTTATACAAGCTTCCCTCATACCCAAGGAAAAAGTATGAGTTGGGTACCTTAAAGGAAACACTTCAAGGGAAAGTTCTTACAAAAACTTGTGGTAAATCATTACATCTGCTTCTTACCTACTTGACCAGCAATCATGCGATAAAAGATACTCAGTATCACTACAGTATGAAGTGATACAGTATCACTTTAATATGGATTTTATCTCACAACGGCACTGAAAATCCAATCCATTTTCAGAAACTGGCATTAACTCATTTCCCTGCAAAACTCTCTTTAAGGAAGAACACTTTACCAAACTAACAAAGTCTCTTCTAGGCTGATAGCAATATTCCATACTGACAGTTATACCATATCAAAGGATTAGTTTTGAATGCTTTCCAGCAGCCTCATGAGCATTGTACCAACTACCATGTTTCTCTTTTTACTACTCAGGAAAATAAAACCATCAAAATTACACAAGCAATTCTCTTAAATGTAACAGCAACCTCATGTTTTCAAATCTTGAGCATAGTAACTATTCTTTAAATTCATTCCCCCCCTATTTTTGACACGATGTGGCTCTTGAGTTTCATTGCTCCTTTAGGACAAATCAAGGTTAATGAGACATCAGAGAACAGTGGAAGTTAAGACAGCAATCTGCTGCCAGCAAAAACAAGTTCCACCAAAACTCTCATAGTCAGTTTCACATTCTAAACAGACAGTAACGGGAAATGCAGTGTACACCCTGTTGTCCCTCAGAATACAAACAAAAGAAATAGAGTAAAGACTGAAATAGTAGAGCAGATTCTTTCTGCAAAAGGCTACTTTGCCTTAATCCCTCCTACCTCCAGTCTTCCATGCTACATGCAAGTACTCAAAAGATACATTACCTTACTAACCTGCCTAAGGAGAAAATTTATGTAAGTAACTTTCCTAAAGGCACAGAAGATAGAATCGCCTCACAGTAAAGAAAGCCAGTAATATTCCCAAACTCAGTGGACACTAGCACCCTTATTCACAGTTTAAAGCATGATTGAGCAAAGCATTTCAGACTTAAACTAGTTTCTTACAAGGCAGTGCACAATGCAAACGTTTTTCTGGTCTTGTTTCAGCCATAAATGCATGTTCTTGCATATGCTATAAAGATTCTGAAGATTTGGTGCTCGTCTTGCTGGCCAGCCACATTCAGAAACCTGCAACGAGAGAGACAGCAGAGGCGAGAAACAAGATTACACAGTCACATACATTTCCCTAGAATAAGCTGTGTATAGAAGAGGCAATTTTACACTTTAATGCCACCTTCAGGCAGAAATTAGGCAAGACACTCAAGAAAAGTAGCCTCACACAGTGTACGCACCACTCTATATGATGAAGCACAATATAACTCCAGTCCTGTCTATAGTCCATTGCACCAGAAGTATCAACAACTCAGATTACTATCTGAAATTTTCTTAGAGCAAGGAATGAAGTAAAACAGCTTTCAACTTGATCTGTGCACATATTCGTAAGCAAACAAAAGCCAGAAAGACTTGGTTTGCTTTTGATTCAAAGAGCCTCAACAGTTAAGTAACGTTCATTCTGCAACTGGTGCTACAAAACACTACCAAACAATCAGCTTGAGTGCTGAGAATCTACATTCTTCAAATCAGCTGTTCAGTAAGAATGCAGCATATGAAACCTGATCCTTGAGCACTGGCAACACCTAAAGAGCAGGTGATCTGCCTGGACCAAAGCAACAGCTCGCAAAGCAAGTTTTTCCTATTTCTTCTTAGCCAGGACCACAATTGCTGAATGTGGAAGACCAAGTTTTGCTATCAGCAACATGTTTTCTTACCCAGATAAGAGTTCAGGCGTTACTTGGAGATGAACTACCTGAACAGACTTGTGTGTCACAAGAAACAGTCAGTGAGAGTTTTCCTGAGCTTGGCACAAAGGCTGAAAGAAATTCAGACATACAAAGTCTCCTACAGCTTTTCACTGTATTCTAGTATTTTATTTAAAGAGGGTAGTTTCCCAAAGCATCACTTTGAGAGACTAAAGTCAAATATTCTTTTGTTAGTGAAACCTTAGGCAAAGTCAACACTGAACAAATAAAAGAAGGCAAGGAGTCCTTTATATTCCTGTTCACCACAGGATTCAATGTGGACTTCAGTACATCTCAAATATTAGAAGGGCAGTGAAAGAATCATATTGCAGCATTACAGCTACAAACAAGAAAGTACTCTAAAAAAGGAGGTGTATTCAAAAAAGAAAAAAATATTTTTTTTCCAATTTACTGTTTACTTTCTGCTCAAACACCAATTTTATTAAAAGATGTATAACATACAACATGACCTTCTTTTCCTTTGGCTGTATTTTAAACTCAAAACGTTCTGATCATCAGCAGAATGATGAAGAGTGCACAACCTCTCTGAGTAACCTGTTCCAAGTAGGACTTAAAACCAGTAGAGAAGACTTCAAAGCTACCACTATCTTTCACCAAGGATAAAGAAATATGTTGGAGTTCCATACAGATAGCACAGGGCAGGAAAGCAAGAATACAGAATTTCATAAACACCAAGTAAGTTCTTCTCTGATCAAGTTTAAGGCTTGCCATAATCATCTTTTGCACGCACTAAAGAAAATCTAAGCTTCCTTAGCTTCCTTATATGGCTGCTCTCACCCAGCACTGAATAATGAAGTTAAGTCAGTCAGTATTGCTCCCTGTGCATCTGGATTTCAAAGACAGACAGGGAAAATTTCCCCAGTATATTTAAAGAGTTTGTTTTCCAAGAGTTCGGGTTTTTTTGGTAGCAGCCTATTTTTGTTTCTAAACATCAGTGTTTTGTAGAAGCCTCATCAACACTCTCAGCCAATAAAGTGGATGAGAACCTACAATTTTAACAAGTTATGATCTGTATCTATTACTTCCCAACAAAACAAAGATCATAGGACAAAATGAATGTCTAAAGATAAGTGTATATCAGAAGAGTTCCAGATCACTACTAAATTTTGGCTGTGCTCATATTCACAGTACTGACATATCAGAAATATCAGTGTATAGGCACCTCAGACCTGCATTACCAAAAAAAAAAAACTATTCCTAGGATAAACAATTTCCCAGTCAGAGAATTTATCATTCCATAAACAGAGACTGATAGCTTTGTAGGATGAGCAACGAAATCAGTTCAATATGTCAGCCTCACTAAACTTTCCAGTAATCTAGTGCCAAAATAGCATTGCTGAAGATTTTGCCTTCAGGTAGCTGCTCCAAAAAATAATATTAGCTTTCCATGTTAACATCCTCTGCCTAAACCTCATACTGAACCAGATGCAGATAAAGCTAATTGCCTCCAAAAAGGCAGTAATCAGTTTTTCAGGTCTGATGATACTTTGTCTTGTCTACAAGTTCACAAGGAAACAAAAGGAAGTGACAAGCACTAGATAGAATACACTAATCATACTTCAGCCTGACAGTTTAAGTGAACTTGGGTAACTGACGTAATGCTAAGGATGGCTCTGCAGGATAAGACCCAAAAGGGGTTACCATGTAACAATGCTTCTAGACTCTACTCTGGGCAGTCTGAATTGTGGGAAAGGGGCACAATCACTACAGACTTGTTTAGTCAGGTCTAACATGGCCAGTGATAGACAACACAACAGAGTCTCCATTGTGGAGTCACTTACAGGACAGTTGAGCTACTTAGGAACAGACAGTGAAGTCCAGTATCTCAGCACTAAACAAGCTGTCCTCACTGCTTTGTTACTGAATTGGGCAAATGTCTTCTCTTTACTGTCAGAGAAATAGCGAGAAAAGCTAACAGAGGTTCAGCTAAGCTATATCAATATTTCAGGCAGTAACAACAAGCAGTCAGCTAGGGCTGAGCCACATAGGAGTCAAATGTTATGTAGCAGGTCAAGAAGAAAGTCCAGGAAACAGGTTGTGCAAATCAGTAACCAAATGAGTACTACCTTGAAAAAAGTAAAACCTCTGAATGTTGGAGAGATTGAAATTTTAGTGAGATTAATTTAATGTTAAGTATTCTCCATTTAAATCTGAAACATGTAAGATACCTGTACATATTTTCAAAGACATTACTAGCCGAGGAAACACTGACTTCAGTCAGTAAGATTCAAGATTAGTCTTTAATCAGCTAAGTTTGGATTGAAAGCAAAAAGACAAGCATAATATAGGTTACTCTTTGACCTTATATTTATACTTATTTTTTGTCATCTTTTTGATTATGCAGCCTACTTTAACATATTTCAGTATAAAAAGCTGAAGATATAAACAAAGACACTGTATTGAAAGACCTTTTACAGAAATACACAAAAAGTATACACACCCTATTATGAAACCTTGAAGGCCTGTATGTTCTTGGAGAGAGATTGTACACAGCATAGTGACCAGGATGTTTAGAGTCCAGACATAACCGCACATCTTCTATGTTATTTTTGATGGCAGATTCTACACCCTCAGCTGGAAAGGACATCACTGAAGACAGAACAAACACCAGGTGAAGTATCCACTTTTTTCATATATTAAGAACAATCAGAAACTATTCTTAAAGACAGACATAACCATCATACCAGCAATTCTGGAAGTGATGTATGATATATCCAAGTCTCCTTTTGCATAACTGAAACAGAACACATTGGAGTTAATACTGGGAAACAGAACTATTCAAACCATAACTCTAAAACCTGCGTCTCTGAGGCTACACCCACCATCATGAATAATGTTCCATTTCTTCCACCTGAGGTTTGTTGCCTCACACTTCAAGGTTTTCAGAACACAGTTTTCATAATAGACCATGTATTTGAACAGCTACTCATTTATATCACTTGCAATAAAACCATCTCTGGGGATTTTGTATGGATGCCTTCAATGTTTAACTAATTCCTGTATCCCCAGCTCTTACTGATAGACATTCATTGTAGGTATCAGTTTGAAAGCCTAATGAGGATGCAATAACATCTTTAATGGAAGACTTAATGCTTAAAACAAACACCATTCGTTGAAACGTAACACTTTAAATTATGTAACTCTGGCTCATTCCTATCTGGCCCAGATGGCCATGCTGCCTAATTTCTGGATTCCACACAAACAGAGGGTAACTGAATCTCCTTCCTCATTTAAATCGTTCCTCCAAAAATTCACTTTCAAAAATCCCATAGTAAGCAAAACCTTAATCATTACTCTTTTTTGAAAAATAATCTTCTAGTGATGATTTTTTTCTATTTAGGTTCATTCCCTTCATCTCTAATCACCACATTATGCCTACAATTTACTGTTTTAAGATCATTATTTTTTGGTTTCTAGTTTATCTTCTATGTAGCAGGACTTAAAAAAAAAAAAAAAAAAACAAGACAACTGAAGAGCCCCAGTGCAGGCCAACAGTCTTGAGTACCATCACATAGGTCTGCACTCCTGACTGACAAAACAAACCTCACCTACAAAAATTGTATGACAACCCTAACTCAAGTCAGTAGCATATTATCTCCAGAATATCAAAATGTCATTACAACACTATGATGCATGTTTAAGGAATGCAGAGGCACTATCAGAGCAATAGTTTTATATCATTACAGATTTCTGAGACACTGCCTGAAAAAGCTAGACCGAGGGAGGACACTGCACTCCTATTCTGAAAGATCAAGAGAGAATACTACGCTTTGATTCTTTGCTGCTTGCTACTAAGCATGAAGGAGGCTGAAGGAATTAAAAGAATACTGAATTTACAAGGATTGGTAGGAGGATTATAGATAACACAAGAGCAACTGTTCTGAAAGAAAGGACATTAAACAGTATTTATGTGGAACAGCATAACTGGTGTCCTAACAATGATAATGAGCCAAGGTCTCAAGAACAACTGAAATCACCTCAAGGAAGTTTGAGAGTGTCACTAGACAAAGCACTAAAAAAACTCAGCCTTTAAAAATCTTGCAAAAGAAGGTAGACAAAATGGCCAATTAAACACCTTTTCAAAATTATCTGCACCATGGCCAATTAAACACTATTTCAAAATTCTTTGCACCTTTGGAACAACATAACTTCATTGCGTAGCTCAAGTGGTAACACTGTTGCAGCCAAACTAATCAGGGCAGAAATTTACATTCAGAGATAATAATGATTTCTTACTAAAATTAGTCAGAAGCATAGTCCTTTGTATGATCAATAAGCATCACATGTTATTTGTTGCTTACAACAACCAGATTCAAGCAAAGAAACATTCAGATTATTCTAATGATTTCAACTTTTTTGATAAAAAAACACTTAATACAACAGTCTGAGAATAACAAAGCACTATCTCTTCAATGCTGGAACACTGAGGTTAAGCAGCAATTTGAAACAGAAGCACAGAACTACAAAGAACAAAAAAAAAACTGCTCACAGCCATTCCTTTGGGAACACTCAAACTGAGTTCTTACAAGCAACACCACTCAATTCAGCTTTGCTTTTTACATTTGTCTAAGTTAAAATGCAACATTATTAGGAGCATAGATCTCAATACAAACATTACTGAAAAAGTGCAGCTTGGTAAGACTCAAGCTTACTGTTGTGCAGGAAAAAAATCTTGATACCCCTAACAACTGAAAAAGCTTCAGCATGTTTGTGCTGTCTTAATTACAATGTAGCTGCTAAACTGCAAAATCACCACAAGTTTCCTAAACATGTGACATTGCCCTTGAATGTTCTTTGAACTTTATTCTGAAGACTTCCAAGCTATTTCAGTAGTAACATTTGAATGCAAGGTCCTCTGTATTTAGTGGAGTATTTCATGTCAGACTAGTAACAGACTGCTTTAAATGAGAGGAAGGTGTAAAAATGCATATTCTTCACACTGGTAAGCATTCCTATACATTCCAAGATACAACTAAAAATCAGGAGTACATCTTTCCTTCCATGTTGTTAACAGCAAAAATCTCATTTACTTAGCAATGTGGCTGGCAGGTGATAGAGCAGAAAAACATGCCAACAAATCAAGAGACTAAATGAAGGCTTTCTGGTTTGCAATCCATATGGCCAACTCAGTGTGCTTTAAGGCTCCAATTAAGCTAAACAGATAACTATGTTAGGAGACCAAATATTTAGTGACTTTTCTGATGACATGGGGCTACTTCAAGGCTTTTGAGTGAGAAGTCTAGCTTTACCACTAAGATATGAACACTCATTTGCAGAATACAAAATCTTAAGTTTTTATCAGATGTTAAAAGCTTCACTGTGTAAATGGTTGGCATTATCAAACTAATCCAGAACAGCTGCACTTAAAAGACCATAACTAAAATTAAACAGATCATTCCAGCAAATTAAATTAGGATTAACAATTACATTCACAAAATAGCATACAGCACAAAGTTCTACAGCAGTGCTACCTTATGTTACTAACAGATGAAGATGAGAAAAGAATAAAGAATAACAGACTAACCAGCACAGCCTCACTGTAAGTACACAAACCATTATCTCCAGTTAAATAATGTTCTAACACTAAGCAATCTTCCTCCAGGCATCTTTATAATCAAGAGCAAGAAAACATCTATTCATTAGCTAAACACTACCATTCTGCAGTTTATTTTTGAAAGACAGGAAGAAATGCAGCACTGAAATTCACATCAATATGTTCCCACTTGGTTTTGCTTCATAAAACTGAATCATTCAACTATCTAGTGCAACACAAATATCCAAAAAATAAGACATTAATGCACCATCAAACCAGAAACAGAATTACCTCAGAAGCAAAGAAAGCTAGCAGTTAAAGGCAGCTAAGTGTCCCCTAGCCTACCAGATCATTATCTCTTCAGTGAAACACATCCCGCTCTGCTGGATCAGGCCCCTTCACAAAGCTGTGCACATCTGCACTAAGTGTGTATACACCCTAGTATTCACTTTTAGGTCAGCCTGTATCAACAGAAAGCTGAACCCCTTTGCTCTGTGTTCTCTCTCATGTAGCTCTGCTTGACCTGAATCTGCAACAGAAATTGCTGACACCTGCAAGTGAGGTGCCTTGGAGGACAATCAAGACAGCCATCACTCACTCTCCAGTTTCTAGTAGCCTATGACATGTGTTTTAGACTAAAAACTATCACTTATTAGGATAAACAAGAGACCAGAATTTTAATTAAGTTAAAGGCAGCTATGGGCAAGAAGAAAAAAAAATTTGTAGCAACTACAAAACACTAACTCTCCCACAGTAGTTGGGATTCAGTGAGAAAGAAGTCTCCCTGCAGATAAAGGAAGTAACTCCCACAATTCAGAAATGCAATGGCAAGTAGGAAGGAGAAAGCCTACGCAAAGAGATGACAGACTCCAAGAAGAAGAGTGCTTAAGTGTTGTGAGGAAAATGCACGACAAGGAAGAGAGATTTTAGTTTGTCCAGAATGTCTGCTTCTCATGTTGGTTGAAGGGTTTGGCAAAGGCAGTCAAGGATGCAACAGCAGAAGAGGTATTTTCACACCCCTGATGGTTATCAGCTGTAGCCACAACACAAGTTTGTAAAGGCAGGGAATGACCATGATAAACAAGTGTGTCCTACAACAGACACAAAGAAAGAACTAACTTCAGCTTGGCTGAAACAGTTTAAGAATGCACAAGCCCAAGGCTGGAATTCTTAGCAGCACAATGTGAATGTATGTTAAATATTAACAATGTTAAATCCTGAGGAACCTGAGACTACCTTAGGACCTGCATAATATTATGAAATAGTGTGAGCTAGACATCTTTTGCCATTTCAGCAAAGTATTAAATACAGCTAAGATTCAAAATACATGACAGATGTAATCTGCCAATACTCTTTCATGTTCTAGTTCTGTAATTTCCATTCCTTGATAAGTACAAAGAGTTTCTCTCTCAGTACTGATTAAATATTATCCGGAAAACAAGTACTGAAGTAACTGGTTCTTGCTGGTATGATTATATACTTGCTGCATTCCCTCCTTTTCTTTCACTCCCCAAGCAGTGACCAAATTCACTTAGATAACACAAGAAAACAAAAAGTTGTATGAAGACAGAAGGTTCTCCACAAAACCAAGATTTATGTTAGTGCAGAGCATAATCAAAAACCTGAGTGTCTCACACGCTCTATCAACAGAACTGATGTGGCCAAGTCACCTAAATATAAACTGTTATACAATTAGCCAAGTCCAAAACATCTGTGAGGGACTGATCTCCTCATGATGAACTTTAGGACCTAACACACTGCCTGATGATCCTCTGTCAATCTATGACAGCCCATGGAAGTGCTGTATCTCTCACTAGCTGGAAAAGGCCTTTGGCTCATTGATCTACTCTGGGTATTACAATACTTCCACACATTAGGAGCTACAAACCAAAACCAGGTCAAACAATTAGATTCACAAGCTACTCAATGAAGTACTGAGGCCTGAGCAATAGGAAGGATACACAAACTATAGCAGCTAGCATTCTTTCAGCCAACTGTGCCCTGGATCCTGACCAGGCCCAGGCTCTTCCAACAGAAACAGACACATGAACCATCAACAGACCAGATATTTATGTGCTCACAGTCACACAGATTGTTTGTTAAACCGTGTAAAAGCAGGATCCTCTCACAGCAAAGCCGGAGCCTCACCTACAAGAGGATGCACTGTGTAGGACTTCCCAGCTGCCAGGACAGTTCTCCGATCCTTCACTGTGATGGGACTTGCCAGCGGATGTACAGATCCAGATGATGGTAAAGTACTGCGGCAACTGGTGATGTATTCCTTCTTACTCACTATCGTTAACTCTATATAGTAATGATTAGGTGCATTACCTTGCTTATTCTTTCTGCTGCTTTAAACTAAAGTAAAATAAGCTTATCTTTAACTTGGTGTCTGTGTCCTTTCTGTTGACCATGTCAACTGGCAAAACACTCAATTACGGTAAATATCTATAAGCGACTATATGTAATTAATATAAATAAGATGTGAAAGTAAAGACATTTTCTTTGACTAATATTTAGTAAGTTCCACAAGACATGCACTAAAACGTCTCTAACAGCATTTGCATTGCTGACAGAGGCTCAAATACTACCACAAAGTAAACAGTCATGCCATGTAAAATTTGAAGCAGTTCAGAGGATTTGAACAGTTCCTTATGTCACCTGCCAATTTAAGGCATAAATGATCATTCCATGTGACTGTGCAGGACTCTAGACCCCCAAGTTCCATCTCAATTATGCTTTCCCATTTTTGTGGAAAAAAAAATTTCAAACTACACTGCCAAGGGTGTAGTTCAGCCACAGAACACCAGAAACTCGGAAGTACCATAGTAACTCTAAGAGTAAGACAAATGCAAGACTTATTTTGGGCAGTCACCATAATCTAAACAATTGTACAAAAGAGAATGTGAACTGAACAGCATCTTTCCAGAAAGCAAGTACTCCTATACCTCAGAAGCTGCTAGATATGGTTGTATGTACAGTTACTGTTTTATTCCTTGCATGCTACACTTAGGGAACCAAAGGAAATGGGACAAAGCAAAAAGCCTCATACACCCGTTAGGTAAAAGAAATAAAACTAAGGTGCAGGCACAGCACAAGCCATTTCATATTAAAAAAATTTTAGACAGTCCTAATACACCACTAGAAAAAAGGGAAAATGGCACAAAATGAAATTCAAAAAAGTTATTAAACTTCCAGTGGCCTTTAGTAGGAAACCACTTGCAAGAGCAGGAAGAGGAAACTTCTTCAAACATAACTGAGTGATGGAGGCACAACAGTGAAAGTCTTGTGGAGACATGAGCACAAGGAAGTGAAGCGCAGGAATACTTCAGAAGCACGTAGTGTGCAGAAATATGGTCCCAGAGTAAGATCTAATACAGGAACACAGACATGGGAAAGTAGGGCTTATAATTCTCAAAGGTACAAGGAGATAAAGACCAGAAGCCTGTAAGACAGCACATGCCAAAGAAACAAAATGGAGAGCCGTTGCTTAAAAGCTGTACCTCAACATGTTACTTCATGCACGAATTCCTACATTTCTGTTAAGCTGCTAGCAAATTCATTGTTTTTCATCATACAACAGTTCATTCCCCTTGCACACCTCCCTGCATTCTCTTGAGTCAGTGTGGTTTCCTCACAGTACAAAGTTTGATGCTACTGTGCCAATTGCTTCTGTAGAAAACTTAAGGACAAACCAAAGCTGCATAGCTTTCACGACCTTTAAAACAGAGGACCTGGCCTTTCTAAGCTACACACAGAAAGTTTAAACAGACTAAGTATAAGAGCAAACAGTTAAAAATACACTTGAAATGGATATGGAGATAAATGACTTAGAGACCGTACTTAACTAATCATCACCAACATCTAAGAACAGTAACAAGCACAAATTGCACTCAGTGACAGAAAAAAAAGTTGCAAGCAATAGACTTCACAAGCCATAGCACAGTATCCCAGTTAAATCGTGACAAACCCTACAGGGAGGGACAAGGTTCAGTACTCCCTTAGGAGGAATGACCTCAGTCATGGTATTCACTAGTGATTTACCTGCTCTTCTTGGAATCTAGAAAAAAAAAATGTACGCTGGATAAAATTGAGTTTAAAATGTATGAATCATGCAGATTAATTAATACTGATCATACAGAGGTAGTAGAAACAATCACACACTAGGTGTCTGAGAGAACACATACATCAAAACAGGAGATTATTCTTCCACGTAATGCAGGGCAAGGCAAAGGAGACCTACAGTGCAGATCCTCTCACTCTGCCTTGAGGGCACAGATTCCACCTGAAAACTAAACTAGATAGAAAAGCTCATACATTGTTTCCCAGCAGTTTTTCTTCTCACCTCCGTTCCCTTTATTTGTACATTTCAACACTCCATCTTTTTTTCCTTCTCATTCATGTAGGCCTTATCTACTAATTCAAATGATTCATTCTGAACCATGATAGTACTATTCCACATCTCTCCACCCTGCTCCAGCCCCCACCTGCTCATCTTTCCCAGGCTTTCAGTATCTAAAATGCAGCAGGAAAAGTAGCACTTAATACACAGGTTTTTGCCCCCAACATTCTCATTTCTAGCATATAATTACTGAAGTAACTTTTTGAAAGTAACTTTTATATTAATATCATTCATAAAATCTCAGGGCTAGCTACCAGCCATTAGGGCTTAAACTTGGAAAAGTATGCTGAATTTGATAATTTCTGGAGTAATGGAGTAAGCTACTGACCCTTCATTTAGAGCTCTTACCAGCACAACATTTTTTTTTTTTACTCACTTGGCCACAGACTGGATAACTTTGGAAGATGTATCCTTAATATTAGTGAAAAATCGCTCTGTTCCACCCCTCAGTATATCAAAGAACCCTCCATAAGTCTGGTCACATTCTGCAACGGTCAGGCCTAGAGTAGTTGAATAAAAATAATTGTACTTTAAGTCATATCCTGGAATGGGCTCCAAACTGAAGCAAGTAGCCTACAAAACTGGAAGTGAATGCACATACAGGCTATGCTTTGCTGTAAGGTTCACAGTTCTGAAGTTCTCCTTAACTATGACCTATGCAAAAAACAGTACTTCCTGCAGTCAGGAGGTACTAGGTAAGCTAGTTAACATACTGTTTAACTGACTGTTTGCATTCAAGAGAAAAGAAGGTAAAAAATTTCTGAAAGTATTTCATATTGCCAGTGCAGCAAAATACTGTCTTCTTTTAGTAACAGTCTCTTAAAGTGCAGCATATGGTTAGCAAATCTACTTAAGCATCCCCAATAGAGACATTAACACAAGGCTTCAAAAGCAGCTGGCATAATGAAGTTACTTTTTAAGCACAACATCCCTATTAATATGATTGTATACAGCAAACCGCACTCATTCTTGCACAAAACAGATGGCCAGACAGCCATCTGAAGATTTCCTATTAGGAATCTGGATTCTTCCACAAAAACTGATACATAGATGACATGACTGCAATTCATATTACTCAAAATTTCTCCACGAATATTAATATCCTTTGTCTCACTGGCAATTCAGCGTAAGTAGTATCAGGGCAAGAAATATGAAGCTGGAAGAAAAACTGAATACAGTGTGAAATATTACCTTAGTATCCTCTACATTAATTGAAATGTTCTATATTACATATATCATATGTAAAGATGGGTGCAGAAATTGCGTTCTAATAAGAAATTAGATGCAAATAAGCCTATCAAGCTTCTCACTTTCTTTACTATCTTAAGAGCAAGAATTTTCAGCTGAACAAACTCTGAAATCTCCATTTTTGCTGAATGGTATGTCATCTTTTAGTTGTGTCATTTTGGAGATGTGTTTTGCTTGATTGAATTTAGTACTACTTGTCCAACTACTGTTTTTCCTCAGCCAAAACCACAACTCCTTCCCATCACCACTGATGTCCTGCAGTGCAATCATCTCCTGAAGTCTTCCCTGCAGTCCTCCCATAATTCATAGAGCTAAAGGCAGTACCAGGTATGGCTACTTCTTAAAATAATGACTAGGTAGCTAATAAACTGAGTTTAGGCTGCTGGTTTGTTCCTTGGAGGCTGTCAGACATGAGTCTTTTGGAAGTGACAAAATTAAATAGCTTTTGACTACAATCACTATCAGATGCACTTCAAACTATCATGGGGGGTCAAAAGTCTTTGGTTTTTGTGGGGGGAAACACACCGCAGAGGCTTACAGAAGTACTTCTTCCTATTGCAGGCTACAATAAATACATGTCAAGTCAGTGACTCCTAAGCATTAGTAACTGTGGTTCATAGTCAAAATCCCTGCAATTGCTTCTGTGTTTCTTCTTTATTGGACTCTCACAACTGTCAAGATGTCAACATGCCTGGCTATCCTTTTAAGTTGTATCATATCTGATGTTAAGTAGTTCTTCTTGGAAAGTAAAGACAACGGTCACTTCCTTACACCAAAGCTCCAACACTGCGCACAAACTCAGGATATGTACCGATTTCAGTGACTTCCGACATAAAAGTAACAAGTTTTCAGTTAAAGTATTCTGACAAGATTTTTAGCAGTTTAAATTTAAACTCCTCTTAAATTCTCTTCTTTACACAAGACTTTCTGATTCACTGAGGCAATGATATTTGAAAGTCTGGGGTTTAACATAAGCCATTTTTATTTGTTTGTCATAACCTGACGACTACTTTCTCTACAGCCCTGCTCTTAAAAGAATTACTTATTATTGTATCTGCCACTTTCATCCATTTTTAGTTCACTAATTTCAATTATCCTGCCTCTACAGGTCAATAATGCATTTCACAGCTTCAATTATTTTACATAGGAAACTGAATTTTATCTTGCCCAGCAATGAACTTGAGAAATTCATATTTGCATGTATCAACATACAACCAAACTCTGAAAAACAGAGCAAGGTTAGAAACAGTGATATAAATGCAACATAGCTAATATTTGTCTAAAATGCCTAACACCCACAACTTATTTTTTTTCCACACTGAAGATAGGCTATTGGTTTTATACTAGATACTCTTTCTGCACTTACCTGCATTATACATATTGTTGAGCTGTCCTGCAGGCTTAGAGCTCTGTGCAACAGAGGTCACAGATGCCCGAGGCTGAGCATTGTTTCCATAGCCTCCATTTTGTTCCAGGAGCTGAGGAAATTAATACTCAATGTAAGTATTTTCTTGGCAATTTAGCCAATTTTTTATGCTTTGTAAATTACTTTTAGTCAGTGAGAACAAGCAAGCTAAACCTCAGGAGAAAGCCAGGAAGTTAAGACACACTGATTCACTTGCACTATTGTGCAAATTAAGCAAACAGAAGACACCTAAGTGGGTTTCAAGTGAGTGTAGGCAGAACCTTCATATACTAGACTCTTCTGTGCAAGTTAATTACAATTAAATGCAGCTTGTCAAACAGAGCACCTGCATAGTAAAGAGTGACCCAAGATCATGTGAAGTTTTTCATCAGTAAGAACTACAACTAATTTCCTTTACTGTCATATGAGGTCTGTGCTTTAAAGGCATATTTTCAAAGACCCTACAAGTGATACAGTTCAATTCAACTGAAATTCAAAACAAGTTAGTGTGAAATTTTCAAAAGACTAAGGAACAGGGGACCTGCTCTGACATCTGTTACTAAACTCACACTCAGTGGATAACAGAATTGAAAGCAGACTTCATCAATAACAGTCATTATGAGACATTCTTACCTCTGTGATGGGGGATTTGGGATTCACATTCCTAGCTGCTGCAATCTCCTGCAGTTGATTTACAAGTTCAGTGATTGACAATCTCTCCTCTGGGTTCACCTTCAGAGTGGAGCCTGAAAAAGGAGATTCAGACAAGGTAACAAAAACCCTTCACAGCTTTTCTCCCAGCAATTTCTTCACTGAACTCCAGTGCAAACATAGACTCATAGAACAGTTTGGGTTGGAGGGGACCTTAAAGATCATCTAATTCCAACTCCCCTGCCATGGCCAGGGGGGATACCTTCCACTAGACCAGGTTGCTCAAAGCCTCATCCAGCCTGGCCTTGATTGCTTGATAAGCAATCAAGCACATGAACAGAGTGGAGCAACTGCTAAATCCATATCCAAATATTGTCATAACAGGTATCCTTGAAAAAACACCATTCAATCAGGGTTACGAATATTTCAAAGAAAATACTTTCTATCTATTCATTCATTGATCCTAAAGTTACTTCTCGAGGTTAATGTCTCCAACTCCAATATTATATTTCTGGGACTGTAATTAAAGTTTCCACTAATCTGTATGAAATAAAGAAAGTAATTTCTAAAGCAAACTCAAAGAAACCAAATCAAAACACTAATTGTTCCTATGGACTAATTCAGAGCCTAATTAAGACAAACAACATCACTAAAAAACAGAAGTTCCAATTCAAATTTCAAAATTTTTCATAACAGATTAAGATTTTTATTAAAACAAGACATTGTTGCAGTTAACCTTTCTCACCATCACGCCAATATTTAACTGTCAATAATAACACACTGTCAATAACATACACCCATAAAGACATCAAATTACATAAAATTGTAAACTTACGAATGAGATCATTAAACACAGAATAGCGGGTGTCATTTTGTGGGATAACGTATTTCCCATTGACTATGCGAAGTTTAGCTCCATCTTCAAATGGATGTTGCCTAAAGCACAGCAAGTACAGGATACAGCCAAGAGCCTACACAGAGATAAAGACAGAAATATTTCATAGCATCATGGAATCACTTAAGCTGGAAAAAACCCTTAAGATCAAGTCCAACCACTAACCTAACACTGCCAACTCCACCACTAAACAATGTCACTAAGCACAATGTCTACACATTTTATCAATGCCTCCAAGAATGGTGATACAAACACTTCCCTGAGTAGCCCGTTCCAGTACCCAATAACCCTTTTGGTGAAGAAAACTTCTCAAATATCCAATCTAAACCCTGGAGCGACTTGAGGCCATTTCCTCTTGTCCTATCACTTGTTACTTGGGAAAAAGAGACCAATCCCCACCTCTCTACAACCTTCTTTCAGGTGGTTTTAGACAGTGATAAGGTCTACCCTCATCCTCCTTTTCTCCAGGATAAACAGCCCCAGTACCCTCAGCTACTCCTCACAGGACTTGTGCTCCAGCCGCTTCCCCAGCTCTGCTGCCCTTCTCTGGACACACTCAAGCACCCCAATATCTATCTTGTAGTGAGGGGCCCAGACTGAGCTTGTGATTCAACATGCAGCCTCACCAGTACAGAGGCACAATCACTTCCCTAGACCTGCTGGCCACACTGTTCCTGATACAAGCCAGGATGCTAGTGGTGGCCAATGTTTTTCACCCAGGATGGGTGTTTTCTAGCCAGTGGGGAGACACGGAATGGACCACCTTGGTGTGAGGCTGGGAGAGCCCCAGGCACAGAGGTGGGGTCTGCCTGTGGCAACAGAGGGTGGCTGCTTCAGTTGAAGATTCTCCTGTCTGACAGCTGCAGCCCCAGACAGGGATATCAGCAGATCATGGCACACTTCTGTCCTTCCCTCCACCACTCGAAGGAGTGTTGCAGCTTCATACAAAGATATTGACACAAGGATAAAGAAACACCTTACCCTGTACTTCTACACCTTATCTCATATCCTGACATAGGATGTACCATGGTCCTACAGGAAGGTGGAAGGTCCCCACAGCCATGGACAAAAGGAGCTCTGCAGCACTCACTTTAGTTGTGTGAAAGTTATCACAGAATGAAAAAAAAAAATTTATAAATATAAGTTTTATGATTCATGAACCCATTGGCTGATTCTTCTGGTTTGTCCTGTCTCATGAAGCCAATGATATTTAGAGCAGAATTTTAGACTATAAAATTGATTAAGCTTTCTAATACTGCTTGCAAATCACAGGTTTTAATTATCAACTGCTAACTGATGCAACTCTCTGTAATTCCCAGTGCTTTAGAGATCAGCTTCATACTCCTTACGAATAATTAGTCTTGATGTTTCTCTGATGACAGAACACTCAGTGAAACATTCATTTGTTTGCCATGTCAATTAAGAGCTCCAAGCAGTAATACCACCACTAAATAGGTTTGGGCAGGGGGGATGTCCCTTTTATGGAAGTTTTCAGGTTCAGGGATTCTCCTCCTCCTGTTGTTTTAAAAAAATCATTACAGTAAGTCCATTTTATGACTTTCACACTATAGAAAATTGAGTAATCTTGCAACACTAAGCATGCCAAGAACATATTTTTTTCTTACAAAAAGGCTCAGTAGTGTTATTTCGTATCTTCATCCTGTGCTTCAGCAAGATTAATTTTATTTGTGTAGACAGAAAGTCTGTTGTATTTCTAACTCCGGTACATTGTTTTGTAATGCAGCTCCTAAGGCAAGCATTTAAATGACGCCACGGGAACACAACTTCATCTCCAAAATGCTTGTTTTGATAGACATTTGAAGAAAATAAGCCTGAAATAACAATCCTTTTATTTCCTAGAATCTGAAGGCTATTCAGTCCTTATAACAAGTAAAATTTGTTAAAATAAGCCTGGAAAAAAAAAATCGCAAAAAAACAGTGAACTTCCAAGTTCCTTGGTGTGCCCAAACTCGAGACCTGTACAATCTGACAAGGGAACAACCATCAAACCCAGAAGTCAATCTTGAATTCTGATCTGAGTAGTCCAGGTGTTATGGCTTAGTTAGGATAATTTTATCTGTTACTTAAGTAAATGTAAGTTGATATATATATTCATGTAAGTTAACCTAAGAGATACACTGGCAGAGTTATACTATTATAACAGAACCATGTTGCACCTGGCCTATAGAAGTTTGATAATAAAGCATCCAATACCTCCAAGAAAAAGTTTGCACAACTGACTGGAAAATTCCTCCTCAAAGCTTCTTCTGAACCCCAACTTAGTTGCTTGAGCATATGGCCTTTTATAGCCCCCCCCAAGTACAACAGAAACTAGTTAAGAAATCTGCTCACTGCTTCCAGTCCTCTGAGTGCAGTCTCCAACTCTCCTTGGTTGTCAATTTATCCTAAGAACACTTTAAACAACATGAGTGTTATTGAAGTCCCAAAGGTTTGAGATTTAATTACTCCAAAACATGTACTGAGTCTCTCAATCCCAGGCCAGAAATAAACTGCATATATTAACTCTGTATTATTGGACAGCAAGTACACCTTTGTCAATCTGTGGATAAAGCGCTCTCTGTAATGTATATACTGAAGGGTCATATAGTCCACATTAATTGGTCCAGCAGAGGAGTACAGGAAATACCACCCACTCTGCCACAAAAACGCCTGCTTGCAAAGTACTAAGGCAGATCATAATTTAGTTGGAGGAATGAAACTACGCCCTGCACAGACTGAGACACCACACACATCAGAAGACTGCACCCATGGCCACACAGGGAGAAAAGCCAAAAGGCAACCAGCTGAAGACACAGGAAGTGAAGAGACAACTTAGATTTCATCTTCACTTCAATTGCTAGAGAACATTTTTCATTCTGTTTTATCTGTAATTTAGGATTATAACAGCGATCTATCTTAAACACCAACTGTGACTCAATTTGCCTTAAAGGCAATTCCAGTTGCAGCAAGGCAATTCCTCAAAGGCAACTCCATCCACACACATAGCCTCATCATTGATTCACTTAGCAGAAGGGCCCATTTCCCCAGGATGTTGCCCCAAAGCTGCAGTCAGACCCTCTACAGAAGCGCCTGCATCAGTGTGAGCACTCCATGCTGACAGGTAAAAGACCAGCATGGCAAGGTGACCAAAAAAAACAAATCATTTTTTGACCTGCTACTGGGGTCAAAAAAACAGCAGCTAATTTAACCCTTCCTTAAGGGGACTGTAGGTTTCCTGAGGGGTTGTGGTAGTGTTTGGGGTGGGGGTTTGTTTGAAACATATCAAAACACATTTTTTCCACTGACCAGCTTTAGGCAAGAAGTATCACACCTAAAACAATGAGAAGTTCTACAGTATAGCTGCAGGATGACACACACATTACACCAAGGTACTTTCTGAACAAACCAAACTATATGCAGTCTGAATCATGAAATCTAAAAAGATGATTCGGCTCACGCAGAATTAAAACCTGCAAGATGTCTTGCACTGACCAGAATAACTTTTTACCATATGTTGGTAAGGAGAATCCAACTTTGATTCCAATATTCCAAAGCCCAGTGTTTTGCTTTTTCAGGAAGTAGTAAGAGTGGGAGCGTATGAAGGGCCTTCCAAGCCAAAAGATCATTTCAGTGGAGAAAAATCTTTATGACAAGGTAAAGCCTGTAATTTCAGTGGAATTCAGTTATATTTCAGTTCAGGAAATCACACTAATCCAGAAAAAAATGAAACTAAAGGTATTTGGGTTTAGTGTTTATTTTCAGAGTATCTCTAGACTTGGGTAGGAAATGTACAGAAAACAGCTGGCCAAGGATAAGAATCTCTGATCTTACAATGTCTAAACACAGTCCCATTATGGAGTTTATGAAGTTGAAAACCAATGTTTCATCTAAGCTGCTGTTCCAAGACAGACATTTTTGTCTCCTTCATGCCTTTAAAGCTTGCACAGTGACAAGCACACCGACCACAATGACTATCATACCCCACTTTCTTCCAAACTGTTTTGTTTGTCCTAACCACAGACTACAAGATCAGTTATGCTTCCTGAGACAGTGACACGTTCTATTGCCAAATACTTCTGTACTGGGTTTGCATGGCAAGGTTTTGGTAGCAGGTGTTGGCTTCTGTGAGAAGCTGCTGGAAGCTTCCATATGTCTGATAAAGCCAATGCCAGCCAATTCCAAGACAGACCTGCCACTGGCCAAGGCCAATCCCATCAGTAATGGTGGTAGCACCTCTGTAATGACACGTTTAAGAAAAAAAAAAATAAACAGGGAAGAGAAACTGCAGGTAGAGGGAAAGATGTACGAGAAACAACTGCATACACCTAAGTCAGTGAAGAAGGGGGGGAGGTGTTCCAGGTGCTAGAGCAGAGATTTCTCAGCAGCCCACATCAAGGCAGGCTTTACCACTGCAGCCATGGAGGTTACCCCTGGAGCAGAGATCCACCTGCAGCCCATGGAGAACCCCTGCTGGAACAGGTAGTTGCCTGAAGGAGGCTGTGACCCCATAGGAAGCCCACACAGGAGTGCGCTCCTGGCAGGGCCTGTGGCCCCATGGAGAGGAGCCCAAGCTGAAGGAGTTTTACTGGCAGGACGTGTGACCCCGTGGGTAACCCACACTGGAGTAGGGTGCTCCTGAAGGACTGCACCTTGCAGAAGGGACCACTGTTGGAGCAGTTCATGAAGAATTGCAGCCCAAGGGAAGGACTCATACTGAAGAAGATTGTCTCCCACAGGAGGGAACCCATGCTGGAGCAGGGGAAGAGTGTGAAGAATCCGTCCCACTGAGGAGGAAGGAGCAGCAGAGACAAAGTGTGAGGGACTGACCACAACTATTCCCCACACTCCTGTACTGCTTAGGGCAGGGGAGGAGGAGGTAGAGAAAAATTAGGACTGAGGTTGAGCATGGGAAAGAAGGGGGAAGGTGTTTTAAGATTTGGGTTTAGTTCTCTTCTACTCTGATTTGATTGGTAATACAATAAATTACTTTCCCTCAAGTTGTCTGTTTTGCCCATGATGGTAAGTGTCAAGTGCTCTCCCCCTTTCCTTACTCCACCAACAAGCCTTTCGTTCTATTTTCTCTCCCCTGCCCAGCTGAGGAAGGCAGTGACAAAGCAGCTTGGTGGGCACCCAGCCTTCAGCCAGGGTCTAACCCACCACAACCTTCACATTTTCATTAAACTCATGAGTGTAAAGAAAAAAAACCCACACAGAATATGTTTCAACAAAGGCACAATAAATGGAACAGATCTTCCAAAGAAACAGCAGGAGACGACGACTGTGTTAATAATAACAGATACAGAGTTATTCTTAAAAAAAATTCATTGCAACTGGCTTTTGTTAGATGCATTTTTAGGTTTAAGTGGATGCAGTCTTGGCTCAGATTGCCAGTATTTAATGCATGTGAAGTGACCAAACGGTCAGAAAAATGTATTTTTCTTCCTGTTTCTTTACATGCCAGAAGAAAATCACCAACAGCTATAGAAGCCGAATGAAAGTTTCTGCAGTATCTTGTAACTAATTTGAGAAATTGACTGAAGTTGCAAAATTCCAAGTAAAAACTTCTAAAGCACCAGTATTACCTTTTCTCAATTTGACTTCTGACACAGCCAACAGAGGTAACAGCTGAACAGCTTGCCACCTACCTCTAGAAAACCTCCAATAAACTAAGTCCCTAAGCACAAAGTGCTGCACAGCACCTCAGTACTACTGCAGTATTACACAACCAGAAAAGGTACAACTGAGGATTTATTTACCTTTAATTCTGGGTATAGATTTTAGTGAATGTTAACAGTTTATCATCTTTTCTATATAAAGCATGAATGATATCTGCATTGTTCTCATCCTTGCTATGTGTCAGTATTTTACCTAGGTGTAATATCTAGGCATAACCATTTCGAACTCAGCAAAGTGCTGTCCCAGGATTACATGCATGCACGAGTATGAAAGGCTAACAATTTAAACCTAAGGATTTTAATTATTCCGGCTCTATGGTGGCCAGCTCCAACTAGGCAACAGGTGTACTGTCAGGGAAGCTCAGCATTTCCTCACACAGTGGAAGCCAAGCTAGATCTGGGAGAAAACCTCAAATAATACATCTCATTCTTTCACTATTTAGATAAACAGCACAAACTGTGTAAGTTTATTTTTTACATAAGACAGTCTACCCTATGCTTATTTTGGTGCTTTTATCTGATCAACAAATTAACATGAAGACTGGAAAATTAGATTCACTATGCCACAAGAAGCTATGATACAGCAAGAGAAAAAATTCTTACCCAAATGTCCTGTTTTTCACCAATTGGAAAATTTGAATACAAGTCTATCATTTCTGGTGTCCTATACATCGGTGTTGTATTCCTTGTGATCTGCAGAAGACAGAGACTGAATTTATTGACACAAAGACTTGAATAAGATCTAACAGCATTCAACTAAGGAAACAGATCTCCGTGTAGAATGGATAGCGTTCTCACTTTGAAAATTAATTTCAGAAGTACTTGTCAAGGCAGAAGCCATCAACTGAATCCTGCAATAGTCACAACAGCTTTGATATAAGGCCAGATAAAGAAGGTAGTACTCAAATAAATAACACTGTGATATTCAAGAGTCCTTCCAAACTGCAAAGCATATAAAGTGACTGTTTTACATGTGACAAAAAGGGATATGGACACAAATACAGAAAATAAAGAATAAAACAAAGAGTGAGTTCATGCTACAGTGTCTATTTCATGTTTCTTCATCATACTTAATGACAGGGCAGACAGACACATCCAAGAAGCTAAGCTATGTTCACAAGGAACTCTGAGGAGACCTTTTCTACCATCTTTTTGCAGAGACTATACAAGACAGTGGTATAACATCATTTTCTTCTCCAGAAACCAATGGATTGCTCTCCAATGACACTGGATTCCAATACAAGGGGATTTTACAGACACTCATGATATCAGAAGTTTCACACATGAATTTTAAGTGTCACTGTGTTTCTCCATACTTAAAAGCCTGAGTCCAGTAGAAGTACACTAGGTTTACCAGCATTACTCTCAACTCTAAGCTAAGAACAAATGAACTTTGCAAAACCACACTGCATGCTCGGCACTGTCACTGTAGTCCTAGAGGCAATACTGTCCATTCAAATTCTGCTGAGAAGACTTGCCACTTCTTCATATATCATTCAACCGAGAAGAGATAAGAAGGTGGCTCAACTAATTATTGACTTTCTGATAAGAGCACAATTAGAAGCCCTAGTAATGTCTTCTATTTTCACACCAGATTACAGAACGGACACTGCTGAAGTTGAAACAGCGTTTGTATACGCAGCTATAGAACACAAGCTACAATTCTAACTGCAGACAGTGCTGGAGCTCTGGCAACACAAATACAAAACCCAAGCTTTGCAAACACTACAACTGAAACCATCTTCTGTTGTCTTACAAGTCCCATAAATGTATCAGATTAATAGTAAGAGTTAAATGAATCTACTGTTGGTTTTAAAATTGATCACATTAAAAGTCTCACCTCTTCCTCAACCAGTGCTCTCTTTTGTGCAGACCAGTTGTAGTCAGGATAGTAAGCTATAGTTGTAGCACTACCGAAGTCACAAAGTTTAATCGTCCCTTGGTTACTAATAAGCAAGTTTTCCACCTTCAAAAAGAAATACAATAATGAAAATATCTTTTTTTCTGTACACTCAAAACACATGCTTTTAAACATCAACTCACTTGTGCATATATATATATACACAAAAACCCTCACTTTATCCCAGAATGTTAATTACAGGAGCACAAATATTTCAGACAGTACTGTAGATGTGTATGGTAAGAAAACAGTCAATTTTTAAAAGGAAACATCAAACCCACTATGAGCAGGAAACATTCAAGAGAGCAGGAAATAAACCCCAGCATCATTTAATTACTGCCTAAGAAGAGACCTGTTTCCAGAGCCCACTTGCAGAAGCAGTATCTTGGAATCTAAATGTTTTCATGCATAGAGTTGAAGACTGTTAGCTTAATTGCACTGGAGTGGAAGTTAGGACTGCTAAAGACACAAAACAAAGGTACTAGTAGAGAAGTACACTGCTGGGGACACTAAGAAAGAAGCAGCCATGATCCTGTGCAGAGACTGAAACCAGCTATTTGAGGACCAGGTGCTGCTTGAACAGTTCATCAACATCCCTCCCTTTTCCTACCGCAAAAAACCCGAACTTCCTGGATTGCTAAGTGAAATTTAAGGAGAGGTAAAAGTAGGTATTGAACATACATATTGTGGGTTCGTAACGACAAAACAGCTGAAAAGAAAATCTGTATCTCTGTATGAAATCAGGAAAAGGTGTAAAAGAGGCATATTAGTAACATTACAGCACAACTCCCGATAATTAGGTTTGTCTTTTATTTCTCTTTGAAACCACATCATCTCTAGACTTCCTTCTGTAAAACCTCCCTTTTCAGAATATCCTACTAGATGCCCTTAAACATGCTCCTTCCATCTTCTCCCACCACACAATTAATTTTGACTACCTTGCACAAAGACATCAGCTCTATTAATGATGTGGTTAGAGCACCAATTTCAATGAGCAATCTGAACTCCCTCCTCTGTTGGATACACTTTGCTTATCTCTATGTACAATAAGAAGGGTGGCATTAAACTTCAAATTAAAATTTTACACTAAAAATGGTCACAGTAAGATCAGAGATCAAGCTTCTGTGCACGTATGTTCTGGGTTTTGTACTTTGATAAAGGCTGATAATATAAAACATTTCAGCTGATTATTCAAATTTTAACAGGCCCTATGACCTGTCTTATGCAGACTAGCTGTATACTGCATGGCAAATCCTGAAAAGATCAAATTCAGACAATTAAGATATCAGTGTTTCTCTAGTATTTTACAAGTCACCTTCTAACTAGCTTAGAATTTTTACAACTTGGTAACTAGTTGGGTTCTTACAGTGCCGTACATACACATTTTAAGTGCAAGCTTCATCCCTACGGTTTCAGGAACAAAGAATGCACTACACTGACTAGAAAGAGTAGAAAACCACAGGAGGCCAGAAACAGCCACCACTTCAAAGGTGAACTTGTTTTTAAGCTGCACTGCGAAAGTTCATGAATCCTTCTACTTCTAGACAAAATAGTTCAGAAAACAACTGGTAGAACTCCATCCTACTATACCCCTCCATTAGCATCTCAGGTCTCATTTGAGGTTGGCTCAAAACTTTGACCTACAGTTTTTTATCTGATCTGAGTTCAGCCTTTGGGATAGGACAGCATTTAAATAATCCCTATTTGTCTCCTGATTGTAGTCAGGTCTGACTATTGCAGCACTACTATCATTTAATCTTCCTTTGTAGCCCCTGTAATGTGAAACCAAATTACTGCCTTTTTCTGTATTTTATCTCTGCTAGAAACTTACATTACTTGACAAGGAAAAAAAAAAAAAACAGACCTTGAATTACAGCATTAGCTCAACTTCCATAGAGCTGGTTACCTAAAAAATTTTACATTTGCTTGTAAACAAGTTTTTATTCCTTTTTCAGAGAAGAGATGCACCTTTACTACAAGCCTCTCCAGGGGTTGGTGTATAGGAATTTCAGTGAAGAATAAATATTTTATTCTAGAAAGTAACACCGAGAAAGTTCTATCTCAGCTTGGTTAAAATTTCTTTGAAAAAATTGAGGAAATTGAAGGGAAAAAAAAAGTTTACATCAAAACTATTTTTATATTAAGGGAATGTATTAGGGACTAACATTAAAACTTTTCAACAGTGTTAAAACACTTAGCACACATTTACTTCTTAAAAGTGGTTTCATTTTCCTTTCCCCAAGTACTCCAGTACTTGCTTACTTAACAAACTTTGTTTGCATATTCAGCTGATACCACATCAACTCGGAAACAGAAGTGTGAAATTGAGACACTTTTCAGGAATGACAATCTTTCTCCTATTTTTTTAGGTTTACAAAGACCACCTCCTTCCACTAGGTTCAAATGTATTTGGAATCCCATTGATAATTAGAGCTCCTTCATCTGATGTGTAAGTGAATCCTTGCCTTCAAAATACAAAACTCAAATAGATGAAGACCTTCCACATCTTCAAAGTTTCTAAAGGCTAACGGAATGAAAAATTAATAAAGTCAATCAAGCCTACCGAATTTTAAAAATCAAGTTAAAAAGTAACCTAAATGCAATGCAAGTTGTTAGTTCTAAAACTAACAGCTAAGTACACATTCCCAAAGGCTATGGGAATAGCCTGGTGAAGTTCCCAACGACTGGAA